CAAATTGTAAGTGGGGAAAAAAACGCGCCTGATTTAAATGTCACACCTGAACGCTCACATCCTTTTAATTATGTTTGAAATTATGAACATTGCTCAACATCATGAAAATTAAACCTTATTTTCAATAAGCAATCCTGAAAAATATTTGGGGGTGCTTAACTTTTTTCCAGGTGTATACTAGAAAAAGAACAGACATTCTCCATACATATATTGTTACAATATAATTCATTTTGAGAAATTGTTTCATTAAGACATTTATTTAGATTGAATTGTCATAAGAAAAATTATTCAGAATTCACCATCATATTATGGGCATTCAGCTATTCTATATATTTATTAAAGCCACTGTCTGCTGGTAATAATAAAAACTCAAATTGCCTCAGTGGTTAGATCACCTGAACATCATGCAGAAGTCTTGGATTCAAATACCACTAAAGAAGGTATTTTTTATATTTTTTTTACACAAGTGATCATGTTTAGAGCAATCTATTTCATTATTTGAAAAAACACAAATACTATGATATTTCAAATTGATATTTGTTAACATTGGCTGTCAAAATGGCTTAGTGGTTACAGTGCTCAACTCTCATGTGGAAGTTTTGCATTCGAATACTAGTCGATTATATTTACAGCAAGCTCTTTCAGTACATTTATAGATTAAATCAGGGATTTAGGATATTGATTGACATTTGAATTAAAGGATGGCATGTTTAAAGCATCAATCCGCATCAGCTTTTCATTTCAATTAAACACTTCTAGCACCAGCTATAAAATAAATTCTGAATAAAATTACAAATATTTCAGAAACAGTGCAAGAAAGAAAAAGTAGATGGATGGCATGAAAAAATCAAGAAAGCTTAGGAAAATTTAGGATAACTCATGTAGAGGAAAGACATTGACAGGTGACAAGGTGTAATAATATACAGGTTCTAACCCCTTTATGTCATCCCCATGCATTGAATGGATACATCAGCTAGTTAATAAATAAGTTACTTATGGTTGGATTATAGCATTTTGAACCACAGACTAGACCTTTTGATTGATACACTTACACATTCCTAAATAATTCTACATTTTGAAATCTATTTTGAATTTCGTGTTTCAAATACACTATTAGGCTGATAACAAGGTCAGAAAGTATCAAAATTGCAACCATGTTTGATAGTATTTCTACTCTAACAATTTCACTATCTCTGCATGAATTGCATAAACAAAGATGTACAACTAGTGTAAGCATATACACTATGATAAATGTTTCTTAACTTTTGTGGCTAATTCAGTACACTTATGACTAATTTAAGTAAATTTTAGTAAGGCCTTTTTTGACCCTAGCATTAATACAGATTCTCAATCCCTTCAAGCTAATAATCAAGTCACCTTCTTACTGCCACAAACACAATTAAACAGTGTTTGAAGCAAGGTGGAGAAGCTCTATCTTGGGATGTACTCAGGCTTCTAAAATAGTACTGTATAATATGTTATTGAGTTTAAATTTAATTATACTTCACAGAAAAAGTTTGTCATAATTACTTTTTTTTACATATTTTTTGAAATTATCCATTTTTGAATGAAATTTGTAAGTGCACACTTTAGATATAGTGTTCAAACAGGGGATGGTTGGGTGATAGTTTCTGTTAAAATTCTGTAGCTCTAGTTATGTTTGATGTATCATACATATACGATTAACTGACTTTCTATATCTGAAAACTTGTTAAACTGATTTATTCCTAAAAGCATAGAAATTGAGAAATACTATTGCAGTTCATTTTAAACATTTATATCTGGGAGTACAAAAGTTGTGCTTATCGTATTAACTTTTATATTGAGTGTAGGTTGTGCAACTAACAAAAACTGTAGGGTTTGTATGTAAAATTTGGTGCATAGTTCATCTTGGTTTTATCTTCTCTCCTGAAAGTTGTTAAACACCTACTATTCTATTTGTGAAAACTTTATTTTCCTTTTCCTTCCATACAACAGTTACAGAGAGTTAGGTTCAAGTGTCAAATGATTTTCAAAAACATACATGATGAAGTATACATACATTGCCTTACCAGAACATTAATATCTAAACCATCAGCAGTGAATTATTTTTTTTACGTGACAGTTCATTTGCCATACATACACAGCATGTAGACCTTTGGTGTGTGTGTGTCTCTATATATATACATGTAGGTAAAGCTGAGACTAACAAACAATCTGCTTCACACAGTCAAGCATTTTCAGTAAAAGTAATAATATCAGTCATAGACCTAAACATAGTATTAATATAACAACCACACTAGAAGTTTCTCATTTTGTACTAAATAATATTTAAACTTGAATCTATTAGTAATTTCTTGTTTATTTCTGACAAATGCTATTTTGACCATTTGCAGTGAAAAAAAATCTCATTGAGTAAGATACAATAGATGTGTGGCCTGTTGATATGAATTATGACAGTAAAAAACTGAAGTAAAAATGTACAATTATCATTTTTTGAAGAATCCACACTATACACTGAAGATTAAAGAAAATATGTGTCAGGTGTTTCTTAACTTAACTTGATATTAGTTGTGTGGATGTGCTTCACAACTAGAGGATGCAGAACAACAGAAACTTTTGTGGGTAGTTAGGCACTAAGATATATAAAAGCTACATACAAAAAGTAAGGATGCACAAATTAGTATTAAAACCAGAAGGGTGCTTTGTGTAAAAAAAAAGGGGGGTGAACAGAAGCAAAATGTGCAAGTTGGTGCTATAGGAAGTTTCAAGATGAGTCACCCTACTTGGTAGACATCTGAAACTATGACTTTTCATTAAGCTAAATCAAATTAAGCAGAAATCTATTATAATAATACTCAGTTCTTGTCTGTTCTGAAAATGTACGTGCACCTTACTATCTAAATGCTCATGCATGTATACTTTAATGGATGTAAACAAAAACTAGATATAAATATATTTTAATGGACATTTTGTATAACAACATATTAAAAGTTTATCAAAGTTTTTACAAAAAGATCTCTAATTAGAATAACAATATAATTTTATATACTGATAGTATTGAGTTTGGTAAACCCTAACTAAACTAAAGCAAACTAAGTACACAAGTTACAGAGTTAATTTATCTCATTATTTAATATAGGGCCATATTTAATAAAGGCTTAACTAATGTTACACCTAAGACAAGTGGACATATAGATTTCGTTGTGTGCAATTTGAATTATTTTGTATTATGCTATAAATCCTGTATTTAAAGAAGTACTATTGCAATAAAGATATAATTTGACTGCAAAATGTTTTACAAGTTTCTGCTTCTATAAATACTAATATATGCACATATAACATGAAACCAAAGTGTTAATTATAATTACATGTTTTTTAATAACAAATGCAAGAGGTTTCATGGTGATTAAATTTATACAGAACAGTAAAGTGGAATTTTTGAAACATACTGTAATTCGTGATAATGTTTAATATGGTAAAATAATATGCATCATATAAAACATTCAGAAGACACAATTTCATACTAAGTATTTTTCATTTAGTCTTTAAAAATATATATATTCAACTATGCTACATTAATATGATTCAGTTTTTGTAACAAGTATAGTATTTTCATTTCTGAAGATCTTTTATTTTTATAATTTTTTAATTAAACTATTTTCTGATTTGTCAGTGTTTGAAATTCTTCTGCGAGTAAGTGAAGGCAAAACCTGGCAAGAGGCATTTCTTAGTGTGCTTCCACAAAGGAAAGGAGCTATTCCTAAGGAAGTCTGATGATTGCTTGGTTTGACAAGATTAGGATACCAAGTCACAAGTTTCTTGCAACTAGAAGAATGAAGGCCAACAAACATTATTTCAAGGCAGTGTATCAAAAATTGAAAAAGTTGGTATTTTTTGAAACAGGATAATGCTGTTCCTAACAAAAATATAATTTTAAATGAAAAGTTTACAGTTGAGCAGATATGTGGTTAGAAAGTAACAACTGCTTCTTAAACTAGAATAGTACCAATTGTGCAGAATTATATTTAAAATTTTTTCTTTGACCTCAGTTTCCATGTAAACACCTTGTGAACTAATTATATAGAATAATGACATAAATAATCTGACTGAAAGGTTTGAAAAACGTTTTTTTTATTGAGTTATTAGTAAATGTTCACGGCTAAGCAATGATTAGTTTGGATAATGTGCTTGGCAAAATTATTTTATTTAATTCACATATTTGAAGTAAATACCTGTTAGAGGTCATTTAAGGACAAACACTTAAATGCATGTAAATATTCACTGTTGCATTTAAGTTTAAATTGGGGGTTTGATAAAGTAATTGGAAGATGTAGGGATCAAGTGAGTATAATAGGAGGTTTTATTAATCATTTGGAATATTTGACTTGTATCTATTTAATAGGTTTATTTACTATACTTTTGGAAAAATACCAAAATGACTGATTCTTGAGTTTTTAATATTAAATTAGACAAAGGGTCATGAGTGGTTTAGTGGTTAACATGTGAGGATGTGGATTGAAAGGTCCAGAGGTTTATATCATAATACTGTTGAACATACTTTTTACAATTTCAGCTCTGTGTGCATTATAAAAATGACAGTTAATACCATTATTCAGTCTAAAGAGACTGAGAAACCCTGGTGGCAGTGGGACTACTAGTTTATTGTCTTCTCTCCAGTAAATGATTTAAAATATGAGACTACTGTGACCTGACCATTTAGCCTTTGTTTGTACAAAGTTTCATGTAGAATTAAACTTTAAATTGAATTAAACAATATCTTCATGTATTGATTGTTTATTCTGTCTCCTGACAGTTATTTTTGTTGACTATTCCATTTAAGTGGAAAGTTGCCTCAGCCTTGATAATGTAGTTATTTTTCATTATTCAGTAAAGATAATGCAAAGACCAACCCACTTAAAGAAAGAAAAGCATTTTTATTTCTTTAACTGCAAGTTCTACAAATTTCACATCCTTTAACATTACCTAACGATAACCAAGTAATGGGCCTGACTACACAATTAAGGAACATTAGTCACTTACTTGCTGAATTATCCTGTGTCTCTTGTAATTTAGTATTTCATTGAAACAGAAACTCAAACTTTACAGTACCAAGCTAAAACAGACTCAGTAATGTAAAGTCCCTTAAATAATTCTAATACACACAAAAAATAATTGTTCATGAAACTTAAATTTTCATAGTTAACATTATAGTAACTATTGACAATCAACATTAGTATTCACAGATGATACAGTCATTACATCAGTAATTAAATGTGTGAAACCATTTACAGTCAAAATTTGGATAAAAACATTTTTTTTTCATACTTACTGTCTAAATTTCCCAGTTACTAATTTTGTTCGGACATTTTCCATGGTTCATTGTATGAATATGAACTGACTGTTTCTCTTGTCAGTAAGTGAGTACTCTTCAAGAAGATGGTTAAGGGAATCCACTGGTAGCTCCTTTGTGATACTCTAGAAATGATCTCAACAGGTTGGCTTACCACTGGTAAAGTCTTCTTTGAAACTAATCACTTAGCTGTTCTGCCAGTGTGCTTACAAAGACGATGATAATAGATGACCTTTGATTTGGATCACCTGACTTTCTTAATTATGGTTTGTTGCACTATAAGTTGAATGTTTATTTTGAACTTCCATTCTTTCTTTCTTTCTGTCACTGAAAGTCCAGTCTTTGGTGGTGTAATAATCATGTAATCTGAAGAGGTTTCCTGGTCAGAGTCTTTGTTCTGTTAAAAGTTATTCTCAGTATGTGTTCTACCTATGTATAAATTATTCATGCATTATGTTGAGAAGTTTTCCACAGTTAGGATAGATTCTCTATTTCCTTTTGTAAGCTTGCTCTTTGCAGCAATCCACCTTCTTGCTTCATATCTGGATTCAATTTCCTACTTTTCGTTTCCAAATAAGATCAAATAATGAAAGCTGTGGAACCAATGTCAATCAATATATTACAAAGCTTTTCATTAATGAATTCATACCCATTCACTCGTACACTTTTTGCTTTAAATAATGAGATCCTTATCATTATTGGTATAGATGAAGTCTTATTATTGAACTTTGCCCCTTAAGTTTAGATTATTTTCATTTTCTAACATCTGATTAACTCTTTATTGTTCATTAGATCTGTTTGACCTCTGGGACTCATCCCCAGTATATTATCTCTTTGGTTTATTATTATCTATTGACTGGTCATAGTCTTAGCTGTAATGCTTGTGTTTTCCATACTTACAAGAGTGCCCTTGTACTTTCAACCTTTGGGAGAAATTTTTATTTTTTACAGGCTTTTGTAGTTTGTGGTTCTTTGCAATGTCTTTTACAGTTGCAGTTGAAACACCTATTGTCTTTTGGTTCATTTCCTCCATTCCAAGTAACCACTTGTCTAATTAATGTTTTTAATTACTTCTAGACTGCCATCAGAAGTAATTGGTGATTCCACACTACTTGATTTGGTAATCCTATAAATCCTGGATGTGCACAGTAGTAGTGGTAACATTTGTATACCAAATGAATTCTACTATTTTATATTTAATATTTCATGGCATTTAAAATTGAAAATTTTGATCATATGTAGACAGAGGTGAGGCTGATTTGATGTTACATCTGCTTATTCAATTTTCAAATGTATATATGAAATATTTTTAGACCTAAGTTGTACTGGAGGAAAAACAAACCAGGGTGGGCTTACTGTAGAGTTTAGACAAAAAATACAGTAAATAGAGAGGCAGTCAATGTGTGGAGGACTGGAGTGTCAAGCTCTAGTTTGTTGTTCCAGATGATATTAAACATGTCTTTGAATGTTGATCACATCCTGTGATGATGGGGGGGAAATACTGCCAAAGAAAGTCAATGGAGGAAAGATGACTTGTTTCACTAGTTGTGCTTTACCAAGGAATGACAGAGCATTTCCTTCCCATGAATTTAAAGTTTTCTTGAATTCCACTATTTTCTCTCTCCAGTTAAGATTCAAAGTTGGAGTCGCCACAAACCAAACCCCCAGTATTCTGGTGGGTTACATGGTCCACTTCAAGCCCTCAGGGGAGTCTTTTCAAACCCACCAAATCCCAGCCAGAAGGCTTTAGTTTTTTCATAATTTACCTTGGCCCCCAAGGCTTCACCAAACTCCCTCAGGAAATGGAGTGAAGCTTGGATGGACTCCTCCATCGATAGGGTCAGGGTGACATCATCAGCGTGGGCCAAATACGTTTGTTTTTTGAAGAATCTCCTGGGAATGGGAATACCTTTGATCTCTCTACTGTTGTTAAACTTGAGAAGAGAGCTTTGAAAACGAGGACATAAAGTGTATGTGACAGGGCATCCTTGTTGAACCCTGGATTTTACAGCAATACCTTCAGTAATGTTACCATTAACGTTTATTGTGGATTTTATGCCTGAATGCATTGTCTTGATGAAGTTGATGAATGTGATAGGGAACCACAAGATATCAGGACATGCACCATGAATACATGATCCAGGTTTTTGAAAGCTTTCTTCTGGTTGATGGAAATGATGTAAGTTTGACTTCCTCTTTTGTTTGACAGACTTTTAACATCCCTGACCATGTAGGGGGGGGGGGTAGCAAAGTCAACTTATTTTGTCTACTCTAACACTAACTGCATAATGAACAGTTGAAAAATGTGAAATAAAATGAGTATTTCCATTCTTTCATCTAAACTGATTGCAATATTGTTCAGAAAGTTTTATAATGGTTTTATTGCAGTACTTTGTCCCCACTAGAGTAGTAATTCTTACATCCAAAAAATGATAAATCACAGCAGAAGCCAACACATACATTAGTTAGCTTGAGCTTGGGGAAGTTTAGATGTTTTACTGAAGATTTGTTAGGCTAAACTGAGAAACTCATGATTTTTAAATTTTAGTTAATTTTGTCAAAAACAACGTAACAATAAACAATAAATGTACATAAAAAATAAATATTGGTAGTACTCACCACATACTCAAGCAAAAATGAAGCTGTTCTTCCCCAATCCTCATTGAGTCTTACAAATTTGGATGGCGAAAAAGGAATTTATGTATCCTTCAAATATTTTAGATCACAAAATGTTTATCAGTCACTGAAATCTACAATAGTTTATCCAGCTTGCTAAAAATCTATAGATAAGTTTGAAAATTTCCATTAGTGCTCATAGCAACAAATATGATCACAATAAATCAAGTAATTTCTAACTATTTTCACTGTCAAAACTGAACACAATATAGTAAGTATTTGTAAAGGAGAATCTGCTTTATCAATTGGTTATAAATATGCCCATCAGCCATGTAAATCTAATTAGCAAACAATCTCAAAAGTCAGAGGGGGCATTCTTTGGTGGGTTTGACAAATTTATTGATATCTTAGCAAATCAAGCAAGAGGCTCTAAGTTTTTAGAATCTAGCTTGTAATTATGTATTATTTGTGTTTCAAATTCTTTGGAAACTGCAGCAGTCTATTCTGAAAATAGAAAATTCTGAAGTTAAGAAATCAAAGCTCAGACAAATCCCATGCTGTAGATAAAGTAAGATTGAGAATTTTTCAATATTTAATTTGAAATTAAAATGTTACAACCTAAATAATATAGAAATGTGAATTATAAACTACATTTTCATTACAAGTTTATTGATATACATTGATAATAAAGTTTTTAATTAAATTTTGAATGTAACACTTGTGACATGTACAAAAGAGCCATGCCCCAGACATGAAGGGCTAACATGCATAAAAGTGATTGAAAATACTCAGCTCTTATTGGGTGTTAGATACTAGGATGTCACAACCGAGGTCAGTGTGCATTTCCTAATAACAAATAGCTTGCAATATGACAGAAAAGTGCTATTCATTGCTCAGATGACAAGTGCAAAGTGAAAGTATGGAACCTAGAGTAATCTGTAGCTGTTCGCCCCAGACACTTCACTCCAGATTATTATATCAAGGTAGCTTGTGGCCAATTTGTCTTTGTCAGTCTGATCAGTAATTAAACAAATCAAAATTTAAACTCTCTGTATCTTAGTGCCACCACTTGCTTGAGCATTGTTTTCTGGTGTTTTTCCTATTCTTGCTTCATATGTCACACTGACATTTCTGAAAACAAAAAAATTCTACCCTAGTTTTTATGGATAATCATGATCTAATACTAGATTTTGCATATTGGCTGCTGCATACAACTGTCAAATTGAATTTTTTTTCCCCTTCAATTCTGCATACTTATGTAGTCTGAGTATTCCAGTCTGTCCCTGTACCTTACTTGTTGTGGAACAGTTTGTTAAGAGCATTCATTTTCCTTAACGTGAGCTTATCTGTCTCCACAGGTGACCCAAATGTTTCTTCAGTTTCTGGAAATTCTGTAAACAAATTTCTCTGCTTTTCATTCCTCCTTTGATCTTTGTAAGAGTATACAGTATTACTCCCACTGGCTTTCTTAAATGATTCTGTGGCTGTCAAGGCAGATGTCAACAGTGTACATGCATTTCTTAGTCATTTCTGCATGAACACAGCCAGTTATATACAGTTCTTTGTTGGCATAACATTAATGCACATACTTCAAAAATTGTCTTTCATATGTATTAACTGCCATTCTATAAACCCTAGCTTTGGAGGGATCCAAGAAAGTCTGCACATTTGCTTCAGTCACTCCAGGAAGCTCCAACAAACAAATAATTTGCAAAACACAGAAGTAAACACATTATAACAGAAGCAAAAGTTTTGTGAACAGATGCACTGTTAATAACATTTGCATGTTATACTTATGCATAATTGCATTTTGATAAAATATATTCCAT